AAGATGCGACATGTTCAACAATGTTGATTAAGCATAGAAATTGGGTTGAAATTTCGTCATTTAAGAATTGGATATCTGGATTTGTTTCCAATTTCTTGAATTGATTCTCAACCATTTAATGATGATCTAAAGATGATTATAGATTGATTTATTTGATAAGATACTCTTGATTTTCTGATAATAACACTAATTTTAGTAAAATCGTTTTATATTTTAGTTCTCCAAAGTGGTTTTTTATCCTTTATTACACGTTTCAATTTGTTGTTTCACTTAAAAGTATTCCTTTTCCTGTCCAGTAAATTAAAAATATTATGATGGAAACCTAGAAACCATCTAAAGTATGCAATTGATATGGTTTACAGTTGTTTAGTCGAAAGGGGGAAGCTAGGATTCGAGCCAAGGAAAAGAGGTTTAGTCTCTATCCAAGCAGAGGCGGGTCCAAACCTTTAATATTGTGGGGTCAAAATTTTAAAAATAATTTTTTTTTAATAAACAACATAATATTAATGAAAATAAGTTAATATGTATTTTGACACTTTGAAACGATCATATAATTACATCATTATTAATATTATTAAATAAATTTTGCTACTTGTATAATTTTGTTTGTCATTTCATTGGTAAATGATGAGCTAACAATGAGTAAATTAAGTTGAATATATAAATTAAATGAATTGAAATAAAATTCAAGTTTAGTTCAGGAAGTAAATGAAATTCAAATTTAAAGCAAATATAATTCGAAAGTAATTCAAATTGCATTTAATCCGTAACGACTCTAAAAAATTTACGTCATATTTCACGTAAGACTTCCAAATGAAATGATATAAATTATATTGAAAATTTTATCGTGCAAAAATAATAATTAATTAAATTTTTTTAAAAGAAAAAATGAGTTATACGTCTTTTTTGAGGCGTACGTTTGATACATATTTAACTATTTTCAATATCCGTTTGGACCAGTCGATATGAAAACGATGTAGTTTTCGAAACAAACTTTTACATGGTATAAACGATTTGTGGATTCAGATAGCACATGATTGCAAACGAATTTTTAAAGTTAGGATATTATCGAAATTCTCAAAATACTAGTTTCAAATGGCCTACTTTAATATATCATAACTTTTGCAATAGTTGACCACTTCGCATGCCATTAATGAGTGAAATGGTATTAAGAATGCAATATTTTGACTTCATTTGACATCCCGACGAGGGCATCAAAGTAGATTGTAAAAATAATAATAATAATAAATAAATAAAATGGGGCAAAATTTTGTGGGGTCATTTGACCTCACATGACCCCGTGTGGATCCGCCCCTGTACCCATGTGCCTACTCTATAGTAGATACAAAGAGTAGTTTTCTTCGCCTTCAGCTGTTGATGTTATTGATTTGGCGACCTTCACCCGTATCAAAGTAGGAAGATTCGTCCAACTGGTTAATGTGGCAATTGGAGGTAGTCTCAGGGAGGGGTTCAGTCTAAACCAAAGTATTCACAAGATAGTAAAGAAAGTTTATTGATGAGAATTCTCCTAAAAGCAAAAGTAAAGATAAGTGAAATTTCATACGATTACAATAAATTTTGGGATATGCAAGTGTACCTATAAAATTATAGGTGAATTAGCATATACAACTTTACATCAAATTAACATAATTCGATTAAGTCAAGAACCAAAACCCAACTTTGTAATTAATTTGAACATATGAATAAGAATTGGAACAATGATCCTTATTTTTCTATCTTTGTTGAGGAGATATTGGAATAGCTTAGACGAACACAAGAAATGCAATTGTTATCAAAATGATGATTCTGACATCAAATCTTCTGGTTCGCAATTTCTTTGAGTTCCATTTTAGGTTGACTCCAAATCTAAATTACGGCTAACCTTAATTAACATCAGTAGATGATTCTATCCCTTGTAATGCACTGAATTTCATTTAATGTTATTTCATCATCTGATTTTGGCTAATCAGACTAAAATGTGGCACTTGATAATATATTAATATATTTATTTATTTAATATTTAGTTTCCTTATTAGTTTAGATCTCCTTGTAATATGTAAACAATTTTAACTCATTGTAAACCCTAATTTAGTTGCTTAATAGATTAGATTTCTCTCTGCCTTCTTCTCTTCTCTTCTCTTTGAATTGATTCACAATTTGGGTCAAGATAGTTTATGTTGTTAACATGGTATCAAAGCAGATAATTGAGTGAAATTTGTGAGATCGAAAATTTGGGATGCGTAGAAATCGAGGCAGAAATCCAACAAAAAATCTGTCGAAAAAAAAAAAACTAATCGACTACAAATAAAAATATTGATCCCGACCAAACTAGAGACTGGTTGAGAAATCTGAGACCAAATCCGTGTTAGCATTTTGAGACGAACATTCCAATTAGGCATGTGGTATCGGACGGCGGCGCGTGGGGGTCATGTGCGACGACGGTTTGGGCGTGTGAGGACGTGTGTCACATCTTTTCGAGGTGGTTTCAAAAGGCCATGTGTTCCTTGGTAAATTTTTGAGCTTTTGGTGGTATTATTTTGGTTATATGTATATTGTGCAATATAGTTCAATTGTAGCTTTTTGTGGTGCATTGGTTAGCGTTGGTTTCCTCAAAGATTGGATAATATCGTTGACTCATAGTAAATCATTTATTGACTTTATCATGGCAACTGAAAGAGATGATTCACTTCATTCCATTAGTGTCGGATTAAATGGTAAAAATAACTCATATTAGAGTACAGTGATGAGAAATTTTCTAGAAGGGAAAAGATTGTGGGGTTATATTAGTAAAACTGTTGTGAAACTCGAGAATACTGCTCAAAATTATGTAATAGAGTTAGATAATTGGGAGTCAAACAACGTGAAAATTTTCACTTGGATTCATAATTCTGTTGTGCAATCTATTGGTACAGAGTCGGCGAAGTTTGAAATAGCAAAGGATGTTTGGGAGTATTTTCAAAAGTTATACACTAAGTCTAACTTTGCAAAACGGTATCAGTTGAAAATTGATATACGAGCTTTACATCAGAAGGATATGAGTATTCTTCAATTTTATGTTACTATGAATTTAATTTGGGATGAGTTGGCTCTTACGGAATCAGCATGACTGAAAGCATGTGAGAAATATATTACTTTTAGAGAGGAGCAGCGATTAGTTCAATTTTTTATGGCACTTTGCAGTGATTTTGAAGGACTTAAAGGCTCTATCTTGCATCGTACTCCACTTCCCTCAGTTTATTTGATAGTTAGTGAACTTGTAGCTAAGGAAATGCACTTGAAATCTCTTGCAGGAGAAGTATCTCTTCCTCCTTCTAGCACCTCAGTGTTGGCTATAACATCTCGACTGTCCACATAGAATCAGAGTAAAGGTTATGTACGAGTCGTTAGGGATGAGTGTAATTTTTGTAAACAAAAACGACATTGGAAATCTTAATGTCCTAAACTATTGAAGAAGTAGCAACCTTAATCACTGGAGCGATCCTATCGTCCCAATACTAACATAGCTGTTGGCATGCCACTATGTGACTCATCTATACTTGGAGCAACACCTTCCTCTAATCCCACATTGACAGATTTAGCAGAGCAGTTTCAGAAGTTCTTGGCCACAAAGCCACATGCTATGTCAGCCTCTACTCATATAGGTTTGTCATCTCAGAGTCACTCAGGTATTTCTTCCTTATGGATATTCGACTCAAGTGTTTCCAAACATGTCCCCTAATTCAAAATTCTTTAATGTATTACATATTTCTAACCCATCTATGTCTATTATGACTGCTGATGGCACACCGTTGCCTTTAGCAGGTGTTGGTTCTATTAATGCACATAATTTATCACTTTCAGATGTCTATTATGTTCCATTTCACACCATTGCCTTTAGCAGGTGTTGGTTCTATTAATGCACACAATTTATCACTTTCAGATGTCTATTATGTTCCATTTCTTACTTTGAATCTTATTTCTATTAGCCAATCGTGTGATTATGGATGCTTATTTCAATTTTCTTCTACTAGTTGTCATGTGCATGACCCTCAATCTCAGAAGTTAATTGGGATATGCCGTAGACAATGAGGCTTATATGTTCTTGACAATCTAATACCATCACACATTGCAGCCCTTGGTGTTGATTGTAATCTTTCTCTTTGAATTCATAGTCTTCTAGTTTTTATTTGTGGCATTCTAGACTTGGACATGTTTCTGCTAGTCATTTAAAATTTTTAGTTTCTAAGGGTCTAGTGGGAAATATACAAACTCATGACAACTGATTGTAGTGGTTGCAAATTAGCAAAATTTTCTGCTTTACATTTTCCTCGAAGTATTTCTCATTTTGTTGCACAATTTGATCTTGTTAACTCTGATGTGTGGGGATCTGCTCTTATTGCTACAAAAGGAGGGTCTAGCTATTATGTGTCTTTTATTGATGATTATAGCCGTTATTGTTAAGATTATCTTATGAAATGACGATCTGACTTTCTTTATATCTATCGATCCTTTAGAACACTTATTAAAACTCAACATTCCACTGTAATTAAGTGCTTTAGATGTGATTTGGGTGGAGAATACACTTCAACCGATTTCTCTAAATTGCTTGCTCTTGACAATGCAATTCATCAAATCTCGTGTACTACCCCACAACAAAAATGATATTATTGAACGAAAGCATATGATATTGTTAAAACTGCTCGTTCACTTCTTTTGTTAGCCAAAGTTCCTAGTGAATTTTGGGGGGAAGCAGCTCTTATTGCTGTATCTTTAATTAATAAGATTCCATCTTTCCACAATTCAGCTTTATCACCTTTTGAAATATTGAAAGGGCATTCTTCAGATTATTCCTCATTGAGAGTCTTTGGTTGTACTTGCTTTGTTCTTCATCTTGAAGTCGAACTTAGTAAGTTAACATCTCGCTCTGCTATCTGTGTTTTCTTGGTTTATGGCCAAGGCCAAAAGGGTTATTGTTGTTTTGATCCCATTAATAACAAATTATATGTCTCTCGTCATGTCATGTTTCTTGAGCATATTCCATTCTTCTCTATTTCTGATAATACTCATGACATAACTAAAATAGACCTCATTCATATTGATCCATTCTTTAATAATATAAACAGTCCACTTTTCCATACCGTATGTACAGTTGATTCATTATCTCCTACAGGTACACATGCTCTAGCTCATGATACCCCTCTTGCTTCTATGGCTTCCCAAGCACCACCTGAGGTTGTTAATTCAGCTCCTGCTCCATCTCTTTCTCGATATCCTCAACGTATTCGTAAGTCCATTCAGTTATCTGATTTTGCTTATTCTTGTTATTCTAAGTCACTTTGCTGCTTTCTAACCTCTATTCACAAGTTATCCGAACCATCTTCCTATAAAAAAGCTATTTTGGATCCTCTTTGGTAACAGGCTATGGCTGATAAACTCTTTGCTCTGTATAAGACAGATACTTAGGACTTGGTTACATTACCTTCAGGTAAACATGCTATTAGTTTTCGTTAGGTTTATAAGATTAAAACCAGATTTGGTGGTTTAGTTGAGCGTTACAAGGCCAAATTGGTTGCTAAAGGTTTTAATCAAAAGTATGGTTTGGATTATGAGGAAACTTTTGCTCCTATTGCCAAGATGACCACTGTTTGTACACTTATTACAGTTGCTTCTATTCGTCGATGGAGTCTCTATCAATTGGATGTCAAAAATGCCTTTTTGAATGGAATCTTTAAGAGGAGGTTTACATGGTTCCTCTTTCTGGTCTTTCTCACTCTCTTGGATTTGTTTGTGGGCTCAAGAAGGTACTTTATGGCCTCAAACAAGCACCTCGTGCATGGTTTGAGAAATTTTTCACTGTTGTTACCTCTCTTGATTTTACATCCAGTCATCATGGTGCCAATTTATTTTTTAGATGCACTTGTGCTGGTCGCACTCTGTTATTGCTATATGTTGATGATATTATTATTACTGGTAATGATGTTGATGGAATTGTAGTTTTGAAATTAGAATTGGCTAGACTTTTTGAAATGAAAGACTTGGGTACATTATCTTATTTTTTATGGATCGAAGTTGCTTCTTCTCCTAGAGGTTATCTTCTCTCTCAGTCCAAGTATACTATGGATGTTATAGAGCATGCTCATCTTACTGATACTAAAAACTATTGATACTCCTCTTGAGTCCTACGCTCGATATTCATCCTCTGACGGTGTACCATTGTCTGATCCCTTTTGTATCGCGCTATTGTTGGATGTATAGTTTATCTTACCATCACACGTCTCAATATTGTTTATCTTGTTCACATTGTTAGTTAGTTTGTTTCAGGTCCTACTACAGTTCATTGGGTAGCAGTTGTTCGTATTTTGCGTTATCTTCGTGGTATATATTTTCAAAGTCTTTTGTTTCCATCGTCCTCATCCTTAGTGCTCCATGCCTACTCTGATGCTAATTGGGCCAGTGAACTCATTGATCGCAAGTCCACTACTGGTTTTTGTATATTTTTGGGTGATTTTCTTATCTCTTGAAAAAGTAAGAAATAGGCTATTGTTTCCCGTTCCTCCACGGAGACAGAGTATCGAGCTATGGTATCCACTACCGCTGAAATTGTGTGGTTGCAATGATTATTTGCAGACATGGGTGTTTCTTATTCTTCTCCAACTCCTATGTATTGTGATAATACTAGTACTATTCAGATCTCTCACAACTCTGTATTCCATGAACGCACAAAGTATTTTGAGATTGATTGTCATCTGGTTCACCATCATCTTCAGACTGGCACCATTTTCCCACATTTTGTTTCTTCATCATTGTAGCTTGCTGACTTAGTCTCATCCAGTTCATCGTTTTCGCTTTTTTCGGGACAAACTCTCACTGCTTATTGCTTTAGCATCATGAGTTTGAGGGGAGATGAGTTCATATTAATATTATTTATTTATTTAATATTTAGTTTCCTTATTTTTTAGGTTTCCTTATTAGTTTAGATATCCTTGTAATATATAAACAATTTTAATTCATTGTAAACCCTAATTTGGTTGCTTAATAGATTATAATTTCTCTTTTTCTTCTTCTTTTCTCTTCTCTTTCAATTGATTCACAATCTGGTTCAAGATAGTTTATGTAGTTAACAGCACTAATGTAATTTATCCTATGATATTCTCATCCTTTGATATTAACAGAGGAATCACCAAGTAGCAAGCTTTGAAGGCACTAATTCAAGTGTAACCATTCCATTCTTGGTTGCTAGAATTTAGTTCTTTGTAGCTGCCTCAATTTCCAGTGATGTTGGAATTGGCAGCAGTAGCATGTCCATAACAATCAAAATATAGTTGCTGGATTAGGCCTTAAAACAGCCTCCAACTTTTTAGCTCTTTGTCTTTGGAGGCTCAGTTGCTAAAGTTTTCTTTCAAATGTTGGGGAGTTTCTGACTGATTATGACATAGCTCTATTGTATGTCTTGGAGGGATCTGTAAATTATGCTTCCAAAGTGGCTGACCATGATATTTTTCTAAACTTTTCTTGCACTTTCTACTTCCAAAACATGCAACATTGGGTTGTCATACTGGAATTTGGAGTTGCGAGAAATTAGAAGAAATGATTGCCTCGAATAGGAAACTAGTGAGGTTATAAATCCACCGAATCTTATCACCTGATTTTGAAATAACTTTTATTTTTTTATTAGAGTCGATATTGCTATTGTCCATTCATACTAGATTCGTGTAAAGGCTTATAGAGTGGGATACTGGATCATCTTATCAATTCAATGTAATGCATTAAGTATATATATAAAAAAAACAATAGAATAACATGAGGCAGTGGTATTAGAATGATCCACCCAAACCAATTTAACAACAAAAACACACACAAAGAAAACGAACTAGAGAGAAAGAAGAAGAGAGAAAAGAGAAAGAAAAAAAAGGAAAAAGAGGAAAAAGAAGGGAAAAAAAAAGGAATATTCACCAACGTATTAGGAATTAAGTAGGTTATACTATTAGGCTTGAATTTCTCAATTTTAAAAGATAAGTAAAAAGTTACTTATTGAAAGATTATGTTTAATTTTATAGTTGTTAGATTGTTAGATTAAATTCAATTTTATTGGAAGGGTTAAGTATAATGAACTAGGAAATTGAGTAAAATGGAAGAAAAATTAGTTTTAGTTATTAAAGAGACTTTAGAAATCGCCTAAACGTGAAATAATTAAGTTTGGATAACGCCTATTTAATTAATGAAATTTCTTAAAATAGTTAATTATTGATTTAAAAATAATATTATATTTCAGGTGACGATATGAATATCGAGACAGCTTACCAGCTGATTTGTTTTTGGCGTGCATAGTTCTGTGAGTGGGAAAATATAAATATTTTTAAAATATTTATAAATTAAGTATATTATCAAAGTATGTACAATTATGTATTCGATTATATGATTGTTATGGAAATCTCTTTTATTATGATATGTGTGGATCTCAAAGATTATTTATGGCACATTTGTGACTTGGTATGTAAGACATGTAATATTGAGATTTGTTTGGTATGTGAGACATGTAATATTGAGATTGACCAGAAAAGTACTCATGATTATATACTTCTTTTAGTTCACAGAGGGGACTTGGTCATGTTCTATCCGGAGGAGTCTTGACTTGACATTGGTCTTGATCGTGTACATATAGTTCATAGAGGGATCTTGACCGTGTTCTAGAATTGATTATCAGAGGTTTTTGACACCGACTTTCGTTCATGGAGAGGGCCAAAGGCCCGTGAAGAAAGTTTTAGTCCGAGGGGCAAATTACATTTTTTAGTCAGAGGTACATTTTTGGTGGATTTTTCAGTATATTTGATGTGATGAGATTATAGCATAGTTATCAACTGATGTTCATATCATGATTTGAAGATGATATTTTATGACCTTATGTGAATATTTCACTTTTTGGCTATAATTACATGATGGTGGCTTGTAAATTATCAAATGATATGAATTTGATTTTCAATAAAAATGTACAAATGAAAAAGTATATTTATTTTGAACTTCTCCACTCACTGAACTATCAACTCATATATTTTACCAGGTTTTTTTTATCAAGCAGCAATTGAGTATCTGGGCATCTTTTGGAGTTGAGCATTGATTTTGGAGCCAGAGCCATACGATAGAGTTTGTTAGTATGACTCACTTCATAGAGCATGTAGTCAATATTTTGAGACACTTGTTCATATCTAGATGTGATTTTGCATCACTTGTAAATGGTTAGGTAGCTCACTATGTATTTTGTATCCACACGTATATTTCATGTTATTCCTTGGTAAAAGTTGAGATTTTAGCTTATCTCTATTGTGTTGTGTTATAGTTTGGGATTTGTGTGTAATTGATCACAGATTGGTTAGTCCTGTTTATAGGGGAGATAATGCCGAAATTCTGTTAGAAAAATAATGTATAAAAAGTGATATATGGTACTTGTAGTGGCCTTGATGGGGTTCGACTTTTAGCTTGTATCCATCATCGGTGCATGCCACGTTCGGATTCAGTAGTATTACACAGGACATGGTGTGTCAGTTTGGTATCAGAGCCATACTTTAGAGTCCATAGGTTTTCATTGTACATACATACATTCTGATGTTTAGCATATCATGCATAACTGTAGGTGTGTCATACCTCGTGGTGGCAGAACTCGAAGGCTCTAAGATATGTTGCCCCAATCTCGCATTGCTCTTGATAGAGATAAATTGAGAGAGCTCGAGAGAGTAGATGAATCAGTTCACCAGCTTCCCTAACAACGGGGATAGGGAAATGTGATTGGAATTGATCCTATGGCTGTTGAAAGAATTGCTATTGTTGTTGCATTTGCTATGCGTAATACTGACAGAGATTTTAGTATTGAGAGGGCTACAAAATTAGGGGCTAAAGTTTTCACTGGCACAATCGATCCTGTAGTTGCGAAGACATAGATGACCAAGATAGAGAGGGTATTTGATGTTATGGGTTGTTCAAACGGTCGAAAGTTGTGTCTTGCCACTATCTTATTAGAGGAGAGTGCATATGATTGGTGGCAGTCAGTACGGAGCACATATCTAGACCCTTCCACCATTACTTAGACATATTTTCATCATATCTTTTACGATGCCTATTATCCTCGGTCGTATAAAGATGCAAAGTAGGAGGATTTTCTAAAGCTAGTACAAGGGCAAATGACAGTTGCAGAATATCAGGTGAAATTTATTGAACTTTCAAAGTATGCCTAAGTTCTGGTAAATAACGAAATTGATAAATGTAGACGATTTGAAAATGGTTTAAGGAAAGAAATCCGGTCAGTAGTAACAGCTGCAGAAATTGGTGGAATCAGCCTTAAGAGTAGAAAAGAGCATTTCTAATAGGCCAAGTGGTAGAGAACAAACAATGTTCAGAGCAAGCAGTAGTCAGACAATGGCGAG